AAAGATTCAACAGCATCTTTTGTCTTTTCAGTTTGAGCCCAAACAGAGACTCCGACAGCAAACTTTCTGATTCTGAACAGTGAACGTCTCGCGAATTCTAGCAGAAGACTCTTGGGTAGAAAGACAGAAGTTTCTGTTCGTGACAGACTCGTCCTGGTCCCCAAATCCAGCTTCACCACTGTTTGGCCACAAATGAGCAGCCGTGGTCAAGAAGGAACTGAACGAGTTCATGTTCTGACTGCTGCCAAGTCAGAAGAACTTTCAGAAACAATCTGAGATGATTTCTAAAAACAGGAAGTTACGTCCTTAAAGGAATACATATCACCCAGATAATTAAACTAAGATCATTTTATGTTGAAAGGAGGACCTTTAGGTGCTTTGGTCAAACTCGCTGAAGGATTCAGTTTTGTGAGATCTCACAAGATGTGTTGGAGCTCAGATGATGCGTTTGGGATGAATCCCAGCTACTACCACACTAACATTAGCTTAAAATCTGTTAAATTGTTTTAGTTACATTCATTTGTTGTGAGGATTTGTGTGTGTTTCCCTCTTGTGGTCTGTCCCGCTCTCCTCAGTGTTTCTCCCTTTTTGTGATCAGCTCCTGCCTCCCCCCACATGTTCTCCTTTCCCAGGTGTTTGTCATTGTCTGTTGTTAGCGTGTGTGTTTGGGCATTTTCCTGTCGACTTCCAGCGTTATGTAAGTTTGCTGCCCCATCAAATGAAAATTAAAAAAAAGAAAATATTCAATTAAAAAAATTAAATTAAGGAAATATGCTACATTTGTCCTCCAGTAGTCTAAGCCTATAGCAGCATAACAACCAACCCTAACTATAGGATTTATCAAAAAGGAAAGTCTTCTGCCCAGTCTTGAAACTGGACCATGTGTCAGCCTCATGGACAGAAACTAGAAGTTGGTTCCACAAGAGAGGAGCCTGAGAACTGGAAGATCATCCTCCCATTCTGCTTTTGGAAACTCTAAACGTGGGTACGCCTGCAGTCTGAGAGCAAAGTGCTCTGTTGGGAAAACATGGAACAACAAGATTTCGAATATAAGATGGAGCTAGGTTGTTGAGAGCTTTGTAGGGTGGCCATTAATAGTCTTGGGGGGTCCCTGGTGGCTGCAGGACCCTCACCTGACCACATTGACTCTAACCATCAGACTGAAGAGAGCGCAGGTGAGTTTTGAACAAATAAAGATGTGATAAAGCAAAATAAAACTTGACAATGAAATAAAATGCTCTAATAACTAAATTAGCGTCCTTTATACCCAACAACGTCCCTTCTCCCTGCTTAATACAAAAATAAAACAATAATCATAAGTTTATTTGAAACAAACTCCCCTCAGTCATGAACAAGATGCTACTGTGAGTCTTTCTATTTTACTTATTTCTGTGCAACCAGAAACAATGTGCACGTAATAAAGTTTTTTTTGTGTGTGTGTAATTCAGCTTTTATTGTGACTAAATTGTTCACAATAAAAGCTGGGAAATGTGATATTTAGTCAATGAACATTATAACAGCTCAATTAAGATGTTTTATATTTATATAGATTTACATTTAACAAATACATAATTGCATTGAACAACATGTATGTGTTCACTGGTGGAGAATCCCAATTGTACTTTGTAGTACATGTACACAGAAGCAGGTCCTTTGAGCCACACTTGGGAATTACCACAAATGTCATAAAAGCTGCACCACCTACAACAACTTACCGTAAGTTGTAGAAAAGCTGCGCTGCGTAAAATGACTTCTCTTAATGAAGCTGTGCCACTTAAAATGAATTATGGACACATGCAGAAAAATCTGCACCACCAAAAAACAAGCTGTCAAAACTTGTACAAAAGCTGCGCCAAGTAAAATGATTTACCATGAATTGTACCTCTGTTCGTCTTTCGTGAACTCCTTTATTTGAGTCTTTAAACAAATAGAGACATTCTGAGAGAAGGACACGGTTCATTCTCCAACATTAATCTTTGTTTAATAAGATTACCACACATCAGCCCCGAGGCCACGTCTTCCTCATTAGATTAATGTGAACAGAATGAAGACGGGTGGGGGTGAAGAAACGGGGCTGGGGGGCTCTCTTTGATCCTGAGCGTAGCAGAATCCCAGAACCAGAACCGTCTTGTTTGAATGCTAGCATTGTTTTAACTTGTTCTAACTGTAGATTTATGTACATTTCTCTTATGCAGACAAAAGGCGAAAGCTTTGACTTTAAAAGAGATGTCTTTGCCTGTGTCTGTTAGCAAAATATCTCATGAACCACTGGATGGATTCTAATGCAACTTTCAGATTTTAATCACTAAACAAATTTTTACAAATTGTTAATTTGGAGTCAACATAATTAAAGATGTCCACCACAACCAACAGACATTAGAAACAACAAAAATGACTTGAACTCAGGTGATATTACAAAACAATCATCTACAGCTTGGCCTGGTAGTAGCTGAGAGTCATTCACAACAACAAGATCTACTCATCAAGCAAAATCTACATTTAAATGTCAAAGTTCATGCTCAATAATCAGGTAAAACAATCCAACAATGTTCAGTCAGGTCATCTGGATGTTTTTGTTGTTGTTGTTGAGACATTTCGTCCTTCATTCAAAGGATTTCATCAATCTGAGGAGCCACAAACAAACCGAGTCCCACAAGCACCACACTCCCATAGTGGACAAACCAGTTTACTGGTGATAAGATGGTTTCTGGGGGCCGTCCTCCCCCCGGTTGACTCCTCCCAGGCAGCCACAGCCAAAGTGGTTCAAAACATCAAGGTCCATGCTCAATAATCCGAGTAAAAAAAAAACAGCAACTTTAAATTTTAATGTTTAGCCCTAACGTTTTGGAGTCAACCATGACTGTCTGTTAGCAAAATATCTCACAAACCAATGGGCAGAATATAATGAATGGCTCAGAAAGTAATAACTGAATGCACAACCTGTTAGTTTATGAAGTCAGTATGCATTTTTTACTGGGTATACTATGCGAAACCAAAGTACACTGTTTAGCACAATATAATCATCAATGTATTTGGATTTTTAAGCATACTGAACATTTCCAAATTTCTCTGATGCTTATATTGGAATAAATGTACAGCAAACGTTGTACAACAGTTGACTTTGTATTAAAAACACGTTATAGAATTTATTAAACGGTATCAAAGCAAAACATGTTCAAGTAAGTACAGAATTATACAATAATTCACTGGATAAGTGAATGTAATAAACAAGCGCTGCATACAGGTAGAGTATTATGGAAGCATTTAACTGCCGTTTAACATATCAATGACATGTTCCTAATATGTCATGTATCACTGGGCACTTTTAAGTGGGTTTACTGAAATTATTGAGCTTTTCTAGCTGGTATACTCCGTATGCCCGTGCATCACGTAGACTACACCATTGAGCCAAATTTACGATGGCCGTCACAACTAATGGACAACACAAAATGGGCATTAACTCGGTCAACTACAACTATATTGAGCTGAAATTTGGTGTGGTAGTAGCTGAGAGTCATTCATATCACATACACATGTGACATCATATTTTCAAGGTTTCACCACAACTTTATAATACTCATTAAAACTCTGTAATGAAAGGCTGTTCAGATATTCGTTCAACCTTTATTCATACAGGTTAATCCCATTGAGCCTCGAGGACTCATTTACAAGAGAGACCTGATTTCTTAACAAAGAGTGATGACAACAATGGACAATCATAAAAGAGGCATACAGATTTTTTTTAAAAACAAATTAAAATAAGATGGCAAAAATAGCAAAACAACAGCTAGATCATAAGGCGAATGTAGAAAACTAAAAACAGGAACATGTCTGCATTGGTCCCTGCCAGGAGTCCAACAGATTCTTGAAGCCACTTAGAGAGGTCAAAGGTCGAGAGCTTCAGATTGTTTTGCCAGATATTCCAGGAAACAGGAGCGGAATAGGAGAAGGCCCTTTTGCCAAGTTCCGTCCGCATATAATAAAAAAAAAGATAATAATAATAGTTGGGGCACCTAGTATTCTACACCTCAGAAGAGAGTCTACATTTCTATCTCCGTTAATGTGGCCCGAACCACAGCGTCTACCCCCCACAAAAGTTATATCAAAACGACTGGCTCGGCCGTGATGTGTGCTATTACTTTTATTGGCATTTCGAGTTACCATGGCGACGTAATTTGCGAACAAAGACGCAATATTTCCACCAACTCCAGGAACTAGTTGGTGACTGCCCACTTGTTATTCTACACCTGAAAAGCGTATCTTTTTCAACTTTAATGTGGCCTGAACCGCAACGTGGACCCCCACAAAAGTTCCGGGAAGTCTGCAATTTCTTTTATTGGCATTTGCAGTTACCATGGCGACATATTTTGCTAACAAAGATGCCAAATTTCCCATAGGAAATGAATAGGACAAAACTCTTCACAGAAACTGAGTAACATATGGAGCCATTTTGGTTCAACATGCAAGGAAGGCAGTGCATTATGCAATGCACCTATTATTATTATTAATAATTGGTAATAATATTAATAATAATTAATATTATTATAAATTATTACTGTTATAATCATCTACTTTAATATCAATACTTATTAATAGTAATAAGTAATATTTAATATTAATACTAATTATTGGTGTGATTATTATTAATATTGATTATCGATTATTAATATTTTATAACAATTAATAAATTATCAATATATATATATAAATATTAATAATTAGTATTGATTATTCACATTAATAATCATTAATATAAATATTTATTATTAATAATAATTTAATAATAAATAGGCAGTCCCCGTCAAAGTTTCTCCAGGAACTTTCTAGTTATTCTCTTATTATTATTATTATTATTATTAAAGACTGGTTCTGCATTCTGACGCCTGCCTGGTGTGCAGGAATAACTCGAGTTTTATTTTGAAGGCGACGACCACCGGAAGTGCGCCGCTCGCGCGTTTGATGCTGAGTGCGCGCAGATCGCAGCGCATTCCAATGTGATCGAGATGTAACGGCGGAGCGGACTGACTGCCTCCAACCCGTGTTCAGGCGCGCTTGGAACGGATAAAATGTCCACCTCGAAGGAGACGAACACGTGTCCCGACGGCTACCGGGCTTTAAGTACCGCCGAGCTGCGCGAGCTTTTACAAAACGACGACAAAATGGACAAAATCATCCGACTCAATGAGAAGGTACGTGTCTTCTTCTTCTACTTCTGCCGCTCAGACCAAAAAGTGCTGTGAGGAATTAGCGCTAAATCTTGTTTTCCCCACAGCAGTGTAAACAGTTTTCGGCTTTTCCCTTTAATTTAAGTAAAAACCGCAAACAAACACGTCTTGTTTAGCTGCTTCCTGTACATCGTGGCGAGCCGTTTGGATCTCCCCATTCATAAATCCCATTCACATAATCTGACGATGGATTATTGACGGTCTGAACGAGGGTTCAACTAAAAGGAAAGGCAGTGCACGCTGTTGTGGTTGGAGCCCCCCCATAAGAAATCAAACCTTGTATTAAAACCTCGCGAGATCTCGCGAGATCTGTTAGCGCTCAGAGTGTCTGTTGGGAACGACTCTCAGCTACGACCGCACGAAATTTGACCTCATTCTCTTTAAATCTGCTCGAGTTTTAGTCAAATGTGTGTTTTCGTAAATTAGTTGGCTGTGGCGGCCATCTTGAATTCATTCATTCATTCAACCTTTATTTCTACGGGTTAATCCCATTGAGCTTCGGGGACTCGTTTACAAGAGAGACCTGATTTATGAATTGGATTGGACTGGTTAATGCGCCGTAGACGAACACCAGGTGATTACTTACTGAAATGTTAGTTAAAACCTAACCAGTGCTTAATGAGATATTTTGCTAACAGTGACATATCTTGCATGATCAATCAGCCCTCAAAGTGCAAGTTTGGGCTGACTCTCAGGGACTACCACACCAAGTTTTAGCTCAACACCTGCGAACTTCACTGAGTTAAGGTCATTTTTGCATTTGCTATAGTAGCTGCGGCAGCCATCTTGAATAGGTTTAGCTCCAAATGTTATTTAAGTGTAAATTCATTGATTTCTTTGTAGGAGTTTAACTTGGATTATGTTTAATGTCCAATTTATTCACGATACTCTCTAACACAATTGCAACACTCGAACAGTGCAAATTTGTAAGTTTTCACAAATCTAAACTCAACCTGTTCACAAGTGACAACGCAGCTGCGTCGCACAACTAGTAGTGTATTAATAGATAGACTGGACAGTTTCTTAAATTAAAAATTAACTTAAAAACAAAAGTCTTTTACGTCAGTGAGTTATTTTGATGGAATGTCCGATATTTAACTTTATCGCTGATATCGGCCGATAATATGGTGCATCCTTAAAAATGATTAAAATTTGGTTATGTATGAAACTGTGGGTTAATTTACAGTTTGATCTTAAATGTCTTTGCTCTGATAATTTTGTGTGTAAATAAGTAATCAAATAAAATACTTATTGAATAAGGAAGTAAACCTCTAACTATAGCTGCTGTTCCCGTAACCACAAACTTTTTCTTGAGCTCCATTTCTGAGGTTTCCTCTGGACAATGAGCGCATTCAGCGGGCTGATACCAGCAGCGTGCGGTGAAACAGAACCAGTGTGGGTCAGTCATCCCGCAGCTGCGTGACGCCGAAACATTGAAGGAAAACCTTCTCGTGTTCCTGCTGGTGTGCACGCTGCGTTATCCAGAAGGTGATGGCTGAAGGTTGTGTGATTCATCACTTGTCAGGATGAAAACATTTCTTTATCTTCCCCAAACAATCATTTGAGTCGTTTCAGAAACGTAATAAGGGGTGGGAATCTTTAGGCAGCTCAGGATTCGGGGGGGGGGGGGGGGGGGGGGGGCTGAAATGATTGTCGGTGCGTCCACGATCAAAAACCAAATCCTGAGCACGAAATCTGTCAAACCTAAAAGAAACAAAATATTGTTCTCTGCACTGCAGCGCAAAACGGTTTTTAATTCAAACAAGGCTTTGGAAACTGACGGATGTCAACATGTGCATTTGTTTGTGTACTAATACTAAAACTAGTACTATTACGACTTTATCTTTGTCTCAGCAAAAGCAAAAGAATAAAAATGGATTTATTTATAACGTGTGGTTCCCAATACTGCTCCTTGAGGAACGCCATCCTGTACGTTTTAGTTGTTTCTCTGCTTTGACACGCTTGATTTGAATGAACGGGTGATTAACAGGCTTCTGCAGAAATTAGATGATTCATTCGCTTCATCAGGTGTGTTGCAGCACGAAAACGTCTATAGCATGCATGGTGTTCCTCAAGTACTGGGGTTGGAACCACTGACCTACAATAAAACAAACCACTGGTTACACGTCATTCTCTGCCAAAAGTCTATCCCATAATTTGTAATAAATGAGTGAAATCAGCAGAGTCATGTTTTGTTGCCAACCAGTTTTGAGTCATTTGTTTACGTTCTTACATTGAGGACACTTTGGACGTTTTGGAGTCATTTTAGGGAGGAAATGGAGTTGTAGGGAGCGTTAAAACAAAAGTCGGGGCTTGTAGAGAACAAAGGTTAAGATCAGTCCTAACCGGAGAATTTCCATTACTAATCACTTTCCTAATAACATTTTACAAAAACCCTGATGAGTTTGAGTTACATTAACCCCCAAGCGTATAAAAACTCAATCAAAACATGACAACATTGTGTATTTTGACAGGTATCACGGCGATGAATCACATCAGAGCTATCTGATCTAGGGGTGCACCGATTGCCGTTTTCTGGTTGATCACCGATTTCTAAAAGTCTGACCTGTCGATTCCGATTTTAGCCGACACAGATTTTGATTTATAAGCGACACTGTCAGGTGTTCTAAGGTCACAATGCACCTTCAATTTTCCAATATTATTTTTATTGAAAAGCCTACCTTGAACATTATCCTAGAAACAATACACACTTGTTTTAACTGGCCATGAGGTCGTGCTCTGGAATATAAATAAAGTTCAGCCAATTGTTGCAACAACAACAAAAAAAAAAAATCGGTAAAATCGGTTTCTCATGCAAGTATCAGCCGATTTCCCAAAATTAAGGAAATGGGTGCACCCCTAATATTTTTCCTGTCTGAAACCCAGTTTTCTAAAATGAGCTTCTTAAAATGCTGTTTCTATGTGGACACAAGGTTGAAACAATAATAATTTTCAGGAAAATAACAACAACAAAACGTTGCCATGTGGACGGGGCTCAAAACCAGAATCTGGAAGAAGGAGTTGATAATAGATAGTTGGCGTATTTGAATCATAGAGCTTTACCCGTTGAAACATTAAGGGTGGTCCAATAAATGTGACTCAGCTGCTCAAATGGAGCCTGGGGCCGTTTTAGTCGGCGTTGACCAAAAGCTTTGATTTATCCGTCGTTATTAAATGATGCAGAACCTGAGAGGGTCCGATCAGCCGAATTACTCCAGGTCGACACAACAGAGCGCGGACCGGATAAAGTCATGATTCTTTCACGCGCCGTCTCTCATCTCTTCATTAGCTGCGTGTTCATTATGAACGTTGTGTAAACCACAGACAGTGAATCAGAACCACGACGGCTGGTGCACACAACAAAGGTCTCCCATGATTATCAGTTTTTATTCCCCAAGGAACATAATTAGGATCAAATTGTTTTACGGACCTCTGTCGAAAGCTGTGTCAGTCTCTCGTGCGCCAGTAGACTGAATTTAATGAGACTTTAAGAAAGTAATCGATGTGTCAGTTTGATTCAATATGGTCTTAGAAGCACATAAGTGCCTGTAATTCGGTGAGTTTTACCAATAACATTTGGTGTGGTGGCAGCTGAGAGTTTAAAGTTTGACTAAACATCTAAAACTTAAATTTTCAGCATGGGATAATAATCTAAAACTGTGGCATGAAATGCGGTGGGAGATATGCATTCCTTCAAGATGTTTTCCATCTTTATTGTATCATCAGTCCAGTCTCTATAGCGTTCCTAAATAGTGTGAACAGACTGGTTTATCCCTGGAGTCCAGCTCTGGATTTCTGTTTCAGACAAATTCTCTCTCGCCGAGGAGATTCTCAGGCTGCCAGTTTTGTCGCCGACTGGATGTTTAATTGACGGTTCCAGCCTCCAGAAGGCTCGTTAGGCCAGAGACTCGTTTAGGATGAAAGAGAAACGCCTTTTTACTGCATTTTAAGCGCCCAGACGAGTTGAACCACTGCGAACAACAACAGTGCTGCACCTTGGCTAACTGTAAGGGGTATTATTTACCCTGTCCTGCCCCTTAAGTGCAAAGAAGTTGAAATAAAATTAGACTGAATCTCAAAAAAAACATTTTAAATTCCATTTAGAATAAAGCAATACACAGCAAGCTAAGTAAAATAATCACTGTAGATTGTTTATTAGGAGGAACTACTTTTTGGGGTAGTTATTATTTATATTTTTATTACTATTTTCAAATAAAGGACCAGTCGGGAATTCAATAAACACTCAAATTTCTGCTTTAGTTCATGAATCAAAGTCCCGAGGACACTCCATCCCTGAAGACGGTTGTTGTTTGATAAACTCGTTGGACCAGAAAAGACAGGAAACGGTCTGCTTTGATTCCCGTTGAAGGAAAATGGGCCGGAAAAATAGGATGCGGTTCTGACACGATCTGTATTATCGTCATTCCTTTGAAAGGACAGCAGATCTGTTCTAATTCTCTCTCTTCTTCTTCTAAAGGCAGAAGTGTCCCTGCAGGGGACATTGTGCAAATTCCTCCAAACTCGGGACTCGTTCGCTGTTTTAACGACCCGTAAAAATGTGCGACAGATGCACCGCACCGCAGCAGACTCCTTGAAACGGCCTTTAGGCAGAAAAGTGACTGACTCTCAGTGGAAAGTGGCTGAGCAAGAAAAGTCTCCTTCTTTGTCGTGCAAGAATGTTGAGACTGACGGAGCAGAAGAAGGGAAGACTCAGATCTTTTACTTCATTGTGCTCATGATGTGGTTTCGTCTCTGTGTTGCAGAGACGAGCCGTTTCCATGCAGCGCCACGGTGACTCCATTGTTTAGGAGGACCTCAGGGAAAGGCGCTCGTTTTAATTATTTTTGGGGGGTTTTATGGTCTGGCGACGATGTGACGTTCTGCCCCCTTCCCCCAGAAATCCCAATATTGAAATCCCCCCGGCAGCGTTACAGCTGCGTTTATCTCCATGTTCCAGAAATGATCTCCTTTTCATGCCGTTTTTATTCTTCCTGTTGTGGACAATAAACGTGTCTTCAGCAGCTACAGACGGGCTTGAGCCAGCGTGGCGTTATGGATGGTGTTTTTAACGAGGACCAACCTTCATGTTGATGTCTTAGATTAGAAAATTCAAAGTGGAGCATGTGGACTTTCCAAAGGACTTACTGGGACATTAACCCAGTGCCCCAAGCTTCAGAGGGCCCAGAATAACATTATTGATTTTTGAGGGATGCACAATATTGGATTTTTGGCCGATATGTTAAAATGTATTTGGCAGATAACCAATACAGATAATTTTAATATACTTTCCTTTGTCAGAACATAACCCTCTTATTTAGGCCTATTTGCTACAAAAATTGTGCAACAGCTGTAAGAGCTGGTGACCTGTATTCACTAACAGTCATATGATATACATAGCACTTTAACTTATATGAAATAAAAAGTGTTAAATGTTATTTATTAGCATTAGTCACCTGCGATGCTGTCTCACTTGTGGAGGCTTGTTCCAGGTTCCTATAGCTGCAGTGTGGGATCCTCTGCACTCCTGTGCATGAAGGACAGACTTTTTAAATTTAAAGTTTTTGTCTATCCATTCTTCCGTAAGACTAATCATGCTAACGGGGCTAACACGACGTCCAAATGTCTGTGGTAAAACTCACACAAGTGCTATCGGCTGTTAGCTTCTTAATGACGTCGGAAATGACGGCTTGTAACTCGAGTAAGGCTACAACGGAAAAATATCTCTGGGGACGACGTAGCGAGGCTCATCGTAGTCTAAAAATCTTCATCCTCAATGGAAAAAAAACCTGCCACACCGCGGACATTTTGACTTCTTCCTCTCCGCCGTGGTCAGATCAGGTAGGTGCGCGTGACGATGTCATCACGTTGTGCTGGCGTTGCACAGTGTCTTTTATATCGGTGAGTTATTTTGATGGACTGTCCGATATTTAACTTTGACGCTAATATCGTCCGGTACCGATACAATGCTGATAATATCGTGCGTCCCTAATTTTAATGAATGTGTTTTGCGGAGGCACCGTTTAGAACAGCCCTGATTCCTGAACACTTCAGTTAAACAGAACTCCCCTGATCTTAAGTAGCACTTCTAAAACCATTTTATCAAAACTCAAAACTGTGTTTTGCTTCAACAAAGTTAAGTCCAGTCCACTCGATGTTTTTTTGTTGTTGTTGAACCATTTCATCTTTCATCCAAAGGACTTCATCAGTTCGAGGAGCCACAACAAACTCAGTCCCATAAGTGGCTCACTCACATAGTGGGCCAACCAGTTTGCTGGTGATAAGATGGTTTCTAGAGTCCACCCTCTCCCCGGTCGACTCCTCTGAGACCAAAGTGGTTCAAAACATCAAAGGATTACTGAGCATGAACTTTGATGTGTTTCGCTTCCTTAACAAACACACGTTGTTCGAGTAATCTGATCCTTTATCACGTACACACCGATGTGCTGAAATCTGAGCACTTTTACTCTTCCTGAGAAGTTTAAGTGTGAAATACAGAGGAAGAAACAAATCCACCAAGCAGCTCTACAGAAACAGTGGTGCAGACGTACGAAAGATTTATGTTCTTAACGTAAAATCTAGTCGGTCACTGGGGAAGTCTGAGCCACGTTTATTCCAGCATAAAAACTAAATCCAACATAAATACAGTAACTGTTGTGGGAGGACTGGGAGGAAAACTTGTCTAGGCATCATCTCTTTGCCTAGCTGGATCCAGCCGTGAACGTTCCTCGTTTCTTTTATTTATCCTCTTTCTGTGTCTAAAGTGTCCAAATCATGGCTGGTGGTTTGCTAACTGAGTGTAAAGACTGTAGAAAATAAAACGGTTTAATGTAAGCCATCACTACAACTCTAGTTTATTGTAGCCTTTAAATTTAGGTATCACACTAAAGCAGGTGTCTACAACCTTTGCAATAAAAAAAAGAGACATTTTTGCCACTTTTTCTTATTAATTACGATGTCCGGAGCCACAAAACCTGCTACAACGGTGTCCTGTCAACTGGTGGCTCGTGGACCACTACAAGGTTGTTGGAGATGGCTTTTCCAGCCAGTGGGGGTGATATTATAAAATGAAAAATGTCTAACTATTACGAACATTTGTTGATATTTTTACATTTTAATACAAAATATAAGACCAGATTCATGTAAAGAAAGAAAAACTATATAATTTTTAAACAATTTTATAAAAATTAAAACCCTGAACTCTGCAGGCCGATGTGAGCTCTCTTAATTGTTGAAGAATTAAGCATAAAGTTAAAGTGTATAAAATGAGGCCAGTTTATTAAATTTTTTAAGAAAAATAAATATGTTTGTTTACTTTGACTTTGATTTTTATTCTGAGTGTTGTTAAAGTTACTCACCATATTCCTTCTCTGCAACTCGTCTTAAAAGATGTTCCGAAACGTTCTGGTGGTTTTGAGAGAGAAACGCTGTGAGACTGGAAGCCGACTGAGCAAAGTGACATGTTTTACGTCGTGTATTTGTACTATTCTTCACATACAGTATTTGAAAATGACAGGAATTCTGCTAAAACTAGCCATTTTTGGCAATCGTTGAAATAAAATTCAGTTTTATTTTTGGTCAAAGCCTGAAAGAGCCGCTGCAGAGGGACCAAAGAGCCACATGTGGCCCCGGAGCCTCAGGTTGCAGACCCCTGCACTAAGTCAGAGTCAGAGATTCTTTATTGTCATTCGCACCTCATGTGGTACATGTGGTGGAGCGAAATTATGTACACAGGGTCCCAGTTACATCCAACAATAAAATGTATAAGAAAAACAGTAATAACATCTAAGATATGAACTAAGACAAACATCAACTAAATATACACTGAACACTCATAACATAAAACATTGAACATGAGTCTGTGTGAGCGGATGTGCACGTATGAACACATCAACATTGAAACAGATCAGCAGCAACATGAAACAGATCAGCAGCAACATGATATGGTTTTTCACAGTGATTATTCTAGTTAGAGATTCATGAGTCTAACAGCCTCAGGGTAGAAGCTGTTCCTCAGTCTAGTGGTTCTACACTTAATGCTCCTCAACCTCCTTCCTGAGGGGAGTGGGGCAAAAAGTGTGTGTGCTGGGTGGGTGGGGTCCTTCATGATGCAGGTGGCCCTCTTCCTGCATCTGGAGGTGTAGATGTCTGTGATGGTGGGGAGGCTGATTCCGACAGACTTCTGTGCAGCCTTCACCACTCTCTGCAAAGGTTTTCTTTCTAAAGCAACAAGCCCTCCAAATAATGTGCTCGTGTTTGTAATTTGTATGCATTAAAAATAATCAATAAGGTCCTAACAGGAGCTCTAGTCCATGGGCCCAGACCAGCCTGAGCACGTGCATTTCTGATTACCCATTCAATAAAATACTGTTTTACCTCCATGCCTCAAAGCTGCAGCTGTAATTTAATTTAACTGATAGAACGAAGAAAGGAGGAACCAGAACTGTCAAAGCTTTTGAACTGATCCAGTATTATAATAATTTGTGCATCTTAAAGGCAGAGCGATGTTCACAGTAGCTTTAATGCTGCCCATCAACAGGATGTTCAGTTTATATCACACTTTTCTTCTTTTTTTTTTTTTGTTGATACGTCTTTGGCTTCTCACCTTTCATCACATGTTCACAAGCGGACTAGAGAAGCTGAAGGAAACGAGAAACAGCGGCTTCACGGCCGTCATTACGGTGCACGTTTCACAGCCGCACCAGCTGGGTTTAGTTTTGGACCCCTTCTGCAGTTTAACGTCTTTGTTCCAGGAGCGTCAACAGGGTTTGTGACAGCGTCAATAATGGCTTTGAATTGAGTTCACAGCTTCCAAGTTGCTCATAAATCAGCCTTGCAACGTAGCAGCAACTTTGCACACTGGTGTGAAAATCAGTGCTGGAGAGCGTGAGCCTCCTTCCCTCCTCCAGCTGTTCAGCTGCTCCTCAGCTGGTTAACATTTCGAAGGTGATGGGTCTGTAGTTTCGGCAGGCCAGCAGAGGATGATGATAAGGCGGTCTGCTGTCAGCTGTGAGTTTATCAGGCAGCTCCGGGTGCCGCCACATATTTTAGTCTGCTCCGACTCATTCTGCGTGAACACAAGCAGCTGCAGCAGGTTTTCCTGTGCGTCAGGCTGCAAGAGGCATAAATAGCTCCACACAACTTGTTTTTCAGCTGGTTCCTGGAACTTTTCAGTGACGATGAGCTTTCAAGGATCTGCTCTGTCTCAATGTCTCTGCATTAACAGAGTCTCCCAGTGTGTTTGTAAGGTACTCTGCAGAAATGTCTCATCACGCTAATCATTAATGACATAGGCGGAGGGTCCTCCTTTTGCATGTGAAATTATCTCGAGGTATCGTCCATCCCTAGATTTTGCGTTACATAAATAAACTGAATTGAACTTTATCAAATAATGCTGTTTGAAAGAGTTTACTCCAGTAGATTTCTACACTGATACGCAATCCTGAAATGTGGGTCTGCACTCGATGTAAACAAAGTACTGTTAGCTGCATAGTTCACTCAACAAATCTGAGCACGAATGCACCAACACATCAAACAGGAAGCTGAGGCTCGTCAGATTCATACCTGATTTTATTATTTATTGGGAACAGTTTTGTCTAGATAATCTTTTTAAAGGTGATTTTCTTCATAAAACGGTATAAAAAAAAAATTGGGTGTGTTCCTAACTCTGACCTAAATCTGAGAATTCCATAACTTTAAGGCATAATCTAGTTACAGAATCTTGTTTTTGTTAAAAAGTGCAGGAATTAGAGTTTATTTTCATGTTTAAATGTTGGAGGATTTAAAATGTTCTGCACAGTTTAGTGCCTCACGTGCACAGATGTTTCGTTCGCATGACAGACTCATCATGGGAACATACATCGTGCTGGTAAAGGGGAAAATAGGAGCTGATTTGACATTTTCTCCTTTTTTTTTTTTGTCCAGTTTCAGGATCTTCAGGTGGACAGGGAGGTGATGCTGACCTCCAACCGGAGCCTGGCGGAGGAGAGCCTCGCTCGACAGCCCCGCCTGAACAACGGCAAGCTGCAGCTGGCAGACAAATACAGGGAACTGTCCAGCCTTGTAACCACGTGCTGGGAAAAACAAAGTCAACTGGGTGAGTTCACCCGGCCGCTGAGGAGACGGGGGACCAGGGAGGGGGGGTTGTTTCAAGTTTCATGAAGCCAGTGGGCGCTCATTGTGGAGTTCTGCCATGATGGCAAGGCCACTGGGTTAGATTCCACGGCTGGCTCGATAAACGCAGACTTTCTACAACTCATGTTGAAAAAAGTGTAGTAAAAATATAAATAAACACAGTACATAATCTGGATAATCTCATCAGCTACAGTTATTCATGGTGGAACACAATAAACATGAATTTGTACCATTTCTTTGGGAGCAACACAGCTCCAAAATATTGAGACAAGGGCAGAAAAAGGCGGTAAGATTAAGTGTGACAAATAAGAAACAGCTGGAGGAACATTTTAGAATAGAATATAATAATGAATTTAATTTCTAACGCACTTTTCATTAACAAAAATATAGAATAGCATAGAAACGGCCTTTATTTTGTAGCTAATTATGTTAATTAGCATCAGATTAGGTATAAAAAGTAGTAAATATGGGCAGAGGTTTGCCAGTATGGGCGAAAAATTGTGCCGATAAATATTCAAATAGATACAGAATAAAGTTTCTCAACAGAAAATCGAGACTTTGAATATTTCATCATCTACAGTTAATTATATAACGTATTTTCTGGCGTATAAGTCACAGGTCTTTTGCATAGATTTGTCAGTTCTGTGACTTATACACTTTTTCCATATTCATAACTCAATTTTTGACTGACGCTTTCAGTTTCTAAGAACGGCAACAGCGAGTCCTCCCGTGTGCACGCGCTTCACTCAGCTGGTGCAGGCGGAGGAACGCTGGAGAGCTAGCGTAATAAACGTGATGGGTCAGCGGTGACGCATAATAAATGTGATTTATATATATGTTTTTTTTTTCCTCTCCATGATGCTTTGTTTGACTGATGTGACTTCTACTGTGGAGCGACTTATACGCCGGGAAATACGGTAATCAGATTTGAAGAATGTATAGAAATCTGTGAGGTCAAAGGAGGAGGCTGAAAGGTCGACACTGGATGGTTGTGCTCTTCAGGCCCTCAGGGGCCACTGCATTAAAAACAGGTCTGGTTCTGTTCTGATCAGCACTACATGGCCTCAGGAACATTTCTACACATTGTCTGTAAACACAGTTCACCGTGCCTTCCACAAATCCTACTTAAAGCTCTGTCACACAAAGAAGAAGCCATATGTGAACACCATCCAGAACCGCTGCCGTCTTCTCTGGACCAAAGCTCAGTTAAAACAGACTCGAGAACCGTTCTGTGGTCAAACGGTTCAAATCTGACTTTCTTTTTTGGAAACTTTGAATCCCACGTCCTCCATACGGAAGAGCTAGAATCCTCAGTCAGACAAGACCGGGACCAGATTCTCCAAAAACTCCAGCAGCTGGTCTCCTCACTTGCTGCCAAACATTTCAAATTACTGTTTAAAAGGGTACAATTTCTTAGTTTCATCATTTTATATTTTAACTTTTAATAAATGAGGCCTTATGAGATTTGCAGGTCATTACGTTCTGTTTTTATTTGCATTTTTTTTTACGACATCCCAACTTCAGGATTTGGTTTGTGAGTAAATTGAGCTGGTTGTTCCTTCGGTTCTCACACCACAGAGGTCTGAAATGATTCAGTGAAAATATGGCTGGAAATAAAGGTTGCGTCCTAACCACGTAAGGTTCAAACTAATTACACGTCCCACAGTGGCTCCTCGTTGTCTTCCCTTCTAATTGCAGATAGACACTCAGCCAGTATTCCTCAGCTGGAGACATCGAAAGCATTTGACTTGTCTCACTGGTTTGGAGAAGGAGTTTCACATCGGAGTACAGAAAAGCTTCTGAGTGTCAGTGAGACGAGCCTTCATCTGCTCAGTGAACGCCTCAGCATGACTCGAGTTCGGTCATGGGAACAAAACGGAGCATATCAAATGCCGGCAGGAAGCTTGCAGCAGTTGTCAAGGAATTTGTGGGGTGAACGGGGGCTCGCCTTTATTTAGGGAAGTCGTGCTTTTTAGCAAGTAGCTAAAGGGCAGCAGAGGATGTCTAATCCTGTAGCACTAAATGTTTAGGCTTGTTAAATATTCCTCGACTGTAAGACGAATCAAGAACAGGTGCTGCAGTAAATTTTGGTGCATTCATTTCCACAAGAAATGTCTGTTTTTTACAGTTCTGATGTACAAATGAGAACTTGCCAGAGTTTGTTCTGCCTCAGCTGCAGGCCAGTGATGGAAGTTGGGTGGAATGTTAAACTTCCTGTCAGTGTGTGCGCAGATGATATCCCACCTCCCCAGCAAAGCAGGATGGGCGGGGGTCCGTCCTTCCTGTGCAAAACATCTGATTCTGGTTTGGCTCAGCGAGAAGGGGCTGAAAAGATGAATGAGTTGAGCTTTTCGTGACGCAGACAATCTGCAGGGTGGATGATGGCAGAGAGAGAGTTCTCGTTTGACGCTTCCTCCTGTTTTGTTGGCTGAGTGTGATGATGATGATGAGAGGTGCTCCCCAGGTGGAGGAGGAACCTTGAGCTCCTCTTCCTCAGTTTTTATTACAGATAAAACCGGTGTCTGTTTCCCCCGTGCTCGTTCTGCCACACGGTTTCACAAACCTCTTATTTTAAAATAAGCCCAAAGTCCCGTGAACTGAATGTTTTATTTTTTCAGTCTTGTCGAAGCTCCAAAATTCTCGGTTGAAACTCGTGCCTTTGTGTAAAAAGTTGTTTTTCTCTGAAAAATGAAGCTGAGAACTTGTTTACTGATTTTTTTAATTAAAGCTTTGTGTGAAAAATGTTATGCTAAAGAGCTCAAACCACACCGACCGTCCGCCATTTTGAAAACCCCAAAAAAAGGAAAGAGAGACAACCCATGTCACGTCAATAGACCTCCCTCCCATTTTTCTTAGAGACACGCTGCTTGCTCCCTCACTATCCATCCTTCAGTTCAGACGGTCTTATACTGCCATCTGGTGGTCAAAAAGTATACTACACACAAAAACTTAACCAACATTTCTTTTTAAATTTGACAACAATTACTAATTATTATCAAATTTCAAACAATATTATTGTTTATCGCAATAATTTCTGAGACAATCTCACAGCAAAATTTGTTATCGTGACAGGCCTAACTGCAATATTGATAAATTATCAATATATTGTGCATCCCTAGTTACAATAATTCAAGGACCATGCTTTAAACTAGCATGGGTGTACAGTGGTCATCAATACTTTGCGGTTTGACTTTCGCAGACTCAGTCTTTTACAGGTTTTCAACGTAAGATTGTACACATTGTTTCCCGGTGGCCTGGCCACTCAGTGATCGCAGAGGGACGCCCCTCCTTTCTCTTTCTGAGGCTGTCTGTCATACAGTCTGTGTCTGTGACAGCCTCAGAAAGAGAAAAGAGGGGACGAGGGGTGGGGTCTGTCTTTCCCTGTCGCTGCTGTGGGACCGTCAGTGAGGCGGATACCTGAGTGAGCGGCATGGATTGTTTATTTAAAATAATGAAACGCAAACTGAACCTAGAAGTGTCCCGGTGCCCCCGATGGCCAGTCCACCCCCGGGCGCTGATTGGCTCAATAACCGTAGAATCGGTCTCTCTGCTTTCTTTTACTGTGCTTTTTTAGAGCATTTAGAGTTTAGAGCAACGTTAAGAACATTGCAAGAGTGTGGGAAGGGTTTATAATGCCTTAAAATATATATAAATACTAAAATAAATATAACGTCCCTACTTTGCACATTTTCATCTATTGTGGGGGGTGTCTGGAACATAATCCCCGCGATAAGTGAGGGACTACTGTAGTGTGGAATCCTCATCTACAGTTTAATGCACAAAACTGTGGTTCCTTTCAGAGCGAGGCTTACTCACTTTTACTTGTTTCATTTCTTATCGGAGATGAGACGTGATTTTTGAATATATGAGATCAGTAAAATGTGAGAATTAATGAGACTTTTATTTTGTTACAACTGCACCTGATTGTGAGATACCAAGTTGTTTCCTCGCTGTGCAAATGAAAACAAAACCCAACTCTGAGCGTTTAAACGTCTGCTTCTGCCATCATACTTTATTTTGAAAGGATTATATAGTGGAAATGATGATCCCTGCTGAGCTCAGAACACAGACATATCCCTCCACGTTGGTCTGTTTGAATACGTAGCTGGAACGAAAAGCACAAATGTTACTATCGATGTTGATGAGAAGACGTAGGATGGGATAGTTTCTAACAATAATTAAACTTAAAAAGTCTTAGGACTTTGAGTTTTAAGTATTTTTCATGTACATAAACTCTGAGTAACCTTTACACAAACATATTGGTTGCAAGTTAGAAGTTCTCAGATGTCTGTTTTTAATAAGGCGACACGGTTATTTTAAGATAAATAAATTCCTGCTGACGTTTGAACAGGCTCGAGCAGGTATGCTGAGCTCTGGTTTCCTGTTTATAACGGCTCACATGGTGACAACTTCAGATTATTTTTGGCACAGCTACTATTTAAACATCAACACTCAGATATGTTGTCTAGCAGAACATCAAAGCGCTCTGTTTTCTAAAGATGGCACTTTTAAGGTGAATTTTATTTGTATTTCATTAAAAATAGCACACAAATGACAGCTGGCTTAATTACCAACATTTATCTGCAGCCACAACACAAAGTACCATATTTTTCATCCTATAAGTGGCAGTTTTTTGCATAATTTGCATGCCCTGCGACTTATGCGCTGAAGCGACTTATTTATGTATTTTTTCCATATTTATAAACCAATTTTTGGCTGAGATATGACAATTTCATTCATTCTGACTGAAAATATTGAACACTATCATTTTCAGCTGCTAGATGGCACTCGAGCAGTATGGCATGCCGTTGTGTCATGTAATGGATAAAAGTGGCTATTAATGACACAATCGGTTTGCCATAGGTCCACCTTTGTCCAGCTCGCCTGGAGCAATCGTCAAATCAGCTTCATTTCGCTGCGCCGTCCCGGCGAAATGCAGCCGATTTGACCATTGAAGTGCAT